ATTGATTTATTACTTAATACTAGCTCCATAAGCACACCCCTCATTGTTGAGCTGTAATTTAAAATACTTTATCTTCTTTAAAATAGGGCTGCCACGGTTAGTCGACTAGTCAAGATTATGTYAACTATTAAAATCGTCAACGACTAATTTAATAGTCGATGCATCATTTTTTTTCTAACTTTGTATTTTTTTTTATAGTCAACTAATCACAGATTAGTCGACTATAAAAATAATAATTTGGTGCAGCCCTAATTACCACTACTGCACATGTGTGTCAAGGACAGAAAGGCAGGCGTGGCAGTGGAAGCAGTTTGAAGAGAAAAACAAAGTTAGAAAAAAAAACGACGCATCAACTGTTAAATTAGTCGATGATTTTAATAGTCGACTAATCGTGGCAGCTTTACTTTAAAACCTGTATAGTATTAGATTTAGACAGGCTCACTCTGCAGAGTGTTTATTTAAACATGTTTGCTTCATTTTATATGGTAATAAAATATGGATGACAGTATGAAAAGTACACAATGTGTACACAAAGTCATGTATATTGCCTCATCGTAATAATAAAAACACATTAGCTTTATCAAAGCTAAATTTAAACAAAGCCAAAGAATCAATTATTTTTAAACATTGCCAAATTTTATCTGTATTTTCGTTCATTCAGGTCTCCAAAGCTCCAGCCACTGCTGCAAAACTAACTCCTGCCACACCAGCTTCTGCAGCCAACCAGACAACAACAGGTAGGAAACGTCAAACTCCTTATGATGCAACTTTACACCAAAAAAAAAAAAAAGAGAGAGAGAGCTGGTAAAATGTTGAAATGTTTATTTTTCTGCTTGTGTCACTGTGGTTTTACCTCAGAGGTGACGAGCACCACTCCACTCAGTCCTACAACAGAAACAGCAGCTGCTGCTCCTCTGCAGCTCCAGTCGTCTGCCTCGTTGGACGGATCCGCTGCTTCCTCCGCCTCTGCAGCGTTTCAACCAATAAAGTCAGATCCTTCTGAACGTGAGTGTTGCGCTTCCCTACAGCCCTCAGCTCAGTTGTTTTWTAGCCATGTCTACAGATTAAACTGTTTTTTTTTCTGTAAAAGGAAAAGATCAATAAAAGCATGTTTTTGCTGCAGCCTTACCTTTTAAATGTTTCGATCTGTTTTTCTTTAGTATTAGACTTTCCCAAAGAGCTTTCTGAAATGTTTGATCCAACAAAAGGTAAACTTTTTTTAATCTTCCACAAAATACATAATCACTATTCAGTGTTGAAGCATACTGCTCTGATATTAGAAGCTGTTAYGTTGTTTTTTGTTTTAAATTTATTTATTTTTTCTTACAGAAATCATGAGTGGGGATCTTTTAGAGGACTTGATGTCATCAGAAGGTAAGATTGTTTAAGGCTGATACTTATGTTTCTATATTTATCACCCACCATCGAAGGCATGTTTGGTTTGGGTGATATCGGCAAAAAATAATAATAATTGTTGCATTTAGCCGATAACGATTAATACATGACAACTATACTTGTGAGCATCGTGGCTTCTCAGCTGAGTAGATTTGTTTCCAACATTCACTGAAGGAGAGTTTGTTAGAGTCAACGTTGTGGCCTCAGTCTGCATCTTTTGGCTTTCGTGGTACCCTTTTAGCCGGTGGTCCAGATGGTTAAACAAGTTCACGGTGTTAGCATTAGCTCTACATCACAATGACTTCTATAAGCCACCAATTACAAAGAATCTAATTTTAATCGGTGACAGTTGTTCTGGCAATTAATTGAACCCGGTACAATTTTGCCCAACCTTGATATTGGAGTAAAATCATATCTTGAGTTTTACACTATTTACAAGGTTTGACTAAGACGACTTTGATTTTAGGGCTCAAAGCTTTTCCCATCCTGTGTAATTTATCATCTCTCTCTTTTTGTTTTGCCCTCAGTGTTCTCGCCTCTTCTTCGCCTGTCCCCACCGCCCAGCGACCACGACTACATTTACAACCTGGACGAGACCGAAGGCCTCTGCGACCTCTTCGACGTGCCCATTCTCAACCTTTGACACCCCACCCCCAAGTTTTATCTGACACCACTCCCCAAACATCTTCGTCAATCCCTTGTTTTTCCTTAACTCCGTTCTGTCCCTGACAGCGAAAAGAGAAGCAGGACAAACCAGCGTCTCACGGACACCTCTGCACCGGGAGCKCACGCTGAACTCACAAAGAAGGCTCGATGTTTTGAAAAAACAGGCGAGGACGAAATATTTTATTCAGCTTTTCTAAGGGGGGGAAAAGTCAATTATATTTTTGGAATCTTGTGTACAAAGAATTATGCTTGTATATCAGYTTTCCCATGGTTTTGAATGTGTGTKTACTTGGTGTGTGTGTGCCTGTGAGTTTGCTTTTGTACTGATTTATCTCTGAACTCAAGTCAGACATCTCCAGGAAACAAATGTATATAAAAACGAGTTGAACCCCTTTTTCAATCAGGTTAGAAGTCAGATGGCTTCATGGAGTTTAAGTACAGCTGGGTAATTATGCACTGTCCTCATGTACATAGAGAATATATTTTTTTGTATTGCCAGCACACCAAGACGATTGCTTAATTATTAACTCGATTTCTAACACAAAGTGATATTTTGCAAATTAACACCAGGCTCAAGTTCCCTTTGTTTTTTTATTTTTATTTATTTTTTATTTTTGCATGACTTTAAAATTGTGTCAACTCTGTGATTTAGAACCAAACGTTTCCGTATCGAGGTGTCGTTTCCCCCACTGTGAGAAAGAATTTCAACTATTTAAACCACAAACCAAAACTCCACAGGGCTTGTGAGGAAATTATAGGATGGTTTCACATGAAAGCTTTTATTTTTAAAAAGTGACATTTTATCCTGTTTTTCATGGGTTTCAGCAGTTAAGTCTGCGTCTAAAACATTTTAAAGTGATTTTAATCTGGTTTTAACATATTCCTGCTGATACGTCACTAAAGGGAAAATTTATAATTGTCTTTTTTGTCTACGACTTTTTTACCTTGATACCTTTTTGTACCTTGCAGATTTGCTTGCACTGATAGAATTTAAGTTTATGTCAGAGGAATCGCTTCCAACCCCACCGTAAATGTATTTAATAGCAAATGTCTTTGAGCTATAGTGTATGTGTACCATCTAATCAAAGTGTAACCTCATTCAGCAACTGTACCTAGTATGCCATCACAGATGCTAATTTTTTCTTTATTTTATTTTATTTTTTTTGTGGCATTGATTCCTGCTTTTTGATTGACGTTTTCTTTTTGGTATGTGAAAATCTTTCACTACATTTTCAGTTCTCGTATTCTTTGCAGGAGAGTAGCGGTTCAGGACTTGTTACATCTGTCACCTTTTTGCGGTGTTTTCTTGTGGAGCATCACTTTGTGTAAATCCCAGTTTGCCCTGGATGATGTATATGTATGTAAAGTATGTACTGCTTGTATAGAATAGTGTTTATTTTTTATACTGCCTAGATATTGGTATCGCAGGATTGTTGTTATTAACCTGGGGGCTATGCTTAAAGGAATTTATCAACACGACCCTCTGCTTTGATGAAGCATTCTGTCTCATTGCTGCACTTTAACATCACCATGGACAGACCTGTCGCTGTTCATCCTCGATCAGTAGCCAAGGAGCTCAGTTTCTACTGGATCCAAAACCCAGTTCTGCCTGCGTCCGCTGATCCGTAAGACTCCAACATGCAGACTGTTTTTAACAGGCTCATAATTGCCCAGCTGTAGTTGCATCAAATGATATAAAAATAAACCTTTTGATATGATCTGTGTGCCGTTTGGTTTTCTTGGTTCCTGAAAGCATTAGGTGACACACTTTAGAACATGCTGCTGCTTCTGTAATTAGCTCAACAACTTGAGTTGCTCTTCCTGCACTTCAAGTTTTCAACTGCAGTGTAGCTTGCTGTTTATCACAAAGATGGTACACTGAGTTTTGTAACTTCTCAGATGGGGCAACATGCATCCTAATTAACACCTTAATTGGTCTTTAAAGTCTTGACAGGTGTAAAAACTGTAACAAAAGCAAAATGACTGTAAACTACACGTTCTGTTACTTAGAGAAATAGTAGAATACTAGGTAAAAGCTTTAAAGTAAGTACTGTTTAAAATAGACAGCAGAGGGCAGCTTAAACCAAACATGTCCGACCCGGAACTTGGTCAAAATGAAGAGTTTTGACAAAGGTAGCTGAATTCTCGAATAAGCTTTCAGCAGTTTGTCCAATTTTATTTCAAAGTAAAAGCGCTTCTCTGCTCAAGATAGGTTGGGGGTCTCAAAACAAATACATTAAGAGCATATATTATGAGGTATTTGACTCGTAAAGATTAATATATTGAAGTGTAATAAACTAAGTATTGTACATCTGATGTTTAGTAGGAGAATTGTGTTAACTGGTCCCACTAAATCAACGCTCAAACCTTGTCGGCTTTTATTGTGAAATAACGTAACCGGAAACTTCAGTCTAAACCCGGAATTGGCACACAGACCTGCTCAAACTAAACTGAACGGCTCAAAACCCGACCAGGAACCCTTTTCTCCTTAATCAATCACACCTTAAAATAAGTTTTAAGAAGTTTTCTTTTTGTTTTGTCAACACTTCAGATGGTTTAAGAAGACAAACTCTCCCAGAGGACCGACTTTGTTGATGTTGAAGGAGACGAAAGGATTGTTTCAAATGTTTTCGCTCTGATTGCGGCGGTTCCTGCAGGACAGTGGCCTCGACTTGTTTCACAGCAGGTAGGGGGGAAAAAGGCTCTGCAGCTGACCCATTTTAGTTTCACAATTCTTTCACTGCTTGGTGATAGTACCACTTTATTTAGGCGTCGTCTTGACGCATGACTAAGATAATATTTCAACAAAAAATCTTAGCTAGTGCTCAGTGTCAGACTGAACTTTGTTTAAATAAGCAGATTTGTGTGATGATTCAGAACACTGAGGACTGTTTAACTTTTTGTTTGTTTGTTTGTTTGTTTTACCTGTTAAAATCCTCTCATTTTTAGTCAAGAAGGTTAAAACTTGTGTTTAATAAATGCTGTTTCTTGTAAAAAAAAAATATCTTAAGATTGCTGAATGTGTATTACTCTGTCAAGTCAGGAATTTCAGGCAGCTCAGATCCTCCCCCTCTTACACACACACACACACACACACACACACACACACA